GATTCTGTCCAAACTGGTTTGGAAAGATTCGCCATAACTATACTACTTTCATACACATTTTGCTGATGGCGCACATGAAAAGTCATATTTTTACATTCAAAAAGTCAAAGTGACAGATTAGGTGACAGAGATTCAAGCCAAATTGATATTTTTTTGGTAATATTGAGTGAAATTTTTCTAAAATGGTAAATAAATCTTTGCCACTCGTAATATAATCACTGTAAACGGTGCCTTGTGAAAGGTTTTTATTTTCATTGACGTAACTTTCAATTTCTTTTATATTTATATTATCTGAATTTATTTCTAAAATCTCACTTTTCGAATCGCATACGGCTTCTAAAATAATCTTGTATTTTTTTCTTCAACAGTTTTTCAAATTTAGTTGAGAACAATGACATTGTGTTTGAAACTGCCACGACAAACTGAACACAGCAATGTGTATGTACAAATGTCACACGACAGTTTGTCGCATCTCGCAAGACGTATGCGGCATTCGCGAATGGTTGCGAATGAAATGTACGAATTTTCATAGATTTTGATGCGGATGGATATATACTTTACTTCCTATATTTCATGTATGAATAAGAAAATGTTCATACATTCCGTATAAAATGGCATTCGCATATACTAAAATGCCCCTAGGGGATCCTGTACCTCTAAAACTTGAAAGCTCTTGCAGCATTCGCCTTACTGGTTATGATTGTGTCACTTAAATCCCATTATCATCCTGAAAGTGTATATTCCTTATAAACAGTACGTATACAGACGTTTTGATTGAAAAGAATTGAAAATTGTGATTAAAATGCAAAAAAATTGAATTTTCCACAAAAAAATTGGAAAATTCATTATAAAGACTTGTTTAACTACACAAAATGTCTTCAAAATTATTGTGCTACCGAATTGTAAGAATTATACAGGCATATTGGATATTTCACGGCAATATGGATGTTTAAAATTCGTAAATACATACCTTTTTTGTATATATACGTATATTTCGATGAGGTCACCACTTGGTACCGAAAATGAATTTCTGATATGAATTACTGCTGTGTTAGAAAGCTTAAATATTGCACACATCATTTTCAGACAATTGTTGATCATTCCGGATCACAGAACCTTCAATTTACGTTCAGAAATGAATCATTTGAAAATTGGAATTTTTGTGATTTTTCGTATGAATTCGATGAATTGTCACTTCATGGTGAAGGTACCATTTTTTAACTTTGCATGGATTTTTTTCTTTTGCAATGTGTTATTTGGGTTCTGTTCTGATATTTTAAGCATAAAAATAAGCAATACTGAAAGTATAGTGTATTTTTATGCCTTACACAAAAATTCAAAAAATTTCAAAAAAATCCAAATTTTTACCATTTTTGATATTTCTCCGTTGAGCCGTGACATCTCAGTTTATATTTTTTTTGCAAAAAAACGACCGATTCGTGATCAGGGGATCCCATAGCCAAGGTTATTACCCTCGCCGTATTTGTTTTTCACTTTTTTCATATTTCTGATACACCCTAATTATTATCCTTTTTGCGCAGAGCATATGTCAGTTGGCGATTCAAAAGAAATGAAACTAGTTTTAACTCTTTCGAACAAAACCAACTATGTTATACATTATCGAATGTTAAAGCTAGCATTAAAGCATGGATTAAAGTTGAAAAAAGTTCATAAAATGTTGAAATTCAAGCAATCAAAATGGTTGAATGAGTACATTATGTTGAACACACAAGAACGGGCTAAAAGCACAACTGAGTTCGAAAAGAATCTTTATAAATTAATGAACAATGCGATTTACGGTAAATCCATGGAAAATTCTTCTCATAAATCGATGGGACGGGCGATATGGTCTGCAAGCGCGCATTGGAAATCCGCTCTTTAAGCGTAATGTAATTTTCAATGAAAATCTAGTCGCGTGTGAAATTTATCAGTCCAATGTTTACATGACAAAACCGATGATTATTGGTGCTTCGATACTTGAAATTTCAAAATGTAAAATGTATGAATTGAATTCTCTAGAATAAATACAGCGTATGATACGGTCGCACACCAAAGGTTGTTTTTACATACATTTTTTGCTGTACGAGTATTTTGTATGACGGTGTTTCGCTTTGAAATGCAACCTTTTCATACGCTGTTTTTATTCTATAGCAATCAATTTCATTATGATTTCATATTAAAAGAATTTGATAGCGACAGGTGCAAAATTGCATATTCTGATACTGATTCATGTGTACAGTTTCGCATGCGACGACATATACGATTGGATGCGAAAACATCCAGATCAATTCGATACAAGCGGATTTGCTGAGAATAATCCATATAATATAAAACGTTTGAACAAAAAAATCGTTGGTCTAATGAAAGACGAATTCTCCGGTAAAATTGTTGAAGAGTTTGTAGGCTTAAGAGCAAAAATGTATGCCATAAAGATGCGTAATGACGCCAAGAAAAAAGGCAAAGGCAATACAAAATACATTATTGATAAAAAAGGAAAAGGCGTCAAAAAATACAGTGAATCTAATTTTTTTGATAGACAAAATAACAAGCAAAGTAAGCAGAGAAACTCTCCACTAACATAGGATTCATATGCGAATGGCGTGTGAGTGGAGTGTGTCATGCAAAATTTTGTCTACCAAAAATATTAGAATCACTGTATGTTTTAAAGATTATAAAAAATGCGTAAACAAAAATCTCACTTTGAAAAAGAAACAGAATTGTATCAGATCTCATTTGCATGATGTTTACAACATTACGAATGAAAAAAAAGTACTGGATCCGTTTGATGACAAAAGATTCATCATACCAGAATCATTTAGCACACTAGCATGGGGACATTTCGATTTAAAGAGAATTGAGTCAAACGCATTGAATAAGCAAAATTCCATATAATATGTTTACATTGAAAAAATTGTATATAAATCGAGTGAAATTTAGCTCAGTAGTTCATTTTCTTTTGAGTTCGACTCAAAGTATAAGTAGTGCTTAATTCAAAAAATAAATAAACATCAGATTCGCATTCAAAATAAATTGTACGTGGTTAGTTTGATCATCATATCATTGGAAAAGAAACCATACACCATTCTTGTTGAAGGCAACATTGGCGCGGGCAAGAGCACATTCTTGGATTATTTAAAGCGTTTCAAAAATGTTGAAGTCATGCCGGAACCAATTGAATCGTTTCGAAATCTCAACGGATCAAACCTTTTGGATTTGACCTACAAGAACATAAAGAAATGGGCTTTTCCATTTCAAACATATTTATATACATCTGCTCGAGCTTCAAAATCATTTGAAAGTAACGGGAAAAACGATCAAGGTAATGGAGAGATCACTGTTCGGTGCACATCATGTTTTCGTCGAAGCAATGCGACAAAATGATAAAATGGAGAAAGAAGAGTATGACATTCTTCAAAAATGGTTTGATTTCACAGTCGCACATTTCGATATTAAACCGAATCTAATTGTTTACTTGAGAGCCACACCAAACGAAGTATTCGGTCGGATGAAAGAGAGAGGACGACCAGAGGAAAGCAACGTTGACATTGCTTACATTGAACGACTCCATGAATTGTATGAAAAATGGCTTATGAAAGAATGCGGTGATGTACCCGTTTTGGTTTTGAATGCGAATTTAAGTGCATACAATGTTCAACAAGAATACGAAAAACGCACATCGGCACCGAAAATGATTCTATAAACATTTGAATCCAATCAAAAAAAATATTTGTCGATAGCGAGCCCTTAGAATTTAGTCAAGTATGGCATTTTTTTATGTAAACAGTGGAAAACAATCATATATATTTTTTTCTTATTTAGCATCGAATCAGTTTGATTTACTTTGTCGATTTGATCGCGTCTCCGGACTCAGTGATTTTACTTGTTCATTCATTCAGCACTTCAAATAAGTTGTAAATATAACGCGGCATTTCATTTTGTTCATCAATTCAATTCATTATTTGTTCATTGGCTACAAGCTAATTTTTCCAATATGTCTTCGACATCATTTTCCTCGACATCATCTTCACCATACTATTATGATCTTGAATCACCGCTTCGTGATCATTCAATTTCACCGTATTGGTCACCTTATCATAATGGATACGAATCATCACCACCATTGTCACCGATTATTGTATCATTGTTTGAAAATCACAATGATGTATCTTCGACCGTAGCAGACATCGAATATCCAAATGCAACGCCTTCTCCTTTTGTTCTTTTTGGTGATGAGTTCTGGCGTTTTCCACCGATCCAAATGGACGTCGTATCGTCAACAAAAGCTGCCAATGAACGAATTAGACTAAATAGTCGAGGAAGTGAGATTGACAACGATATCAGTGACAACGATGACAGTGACGAACCAATCAGTGATAATGAGGACGGTGAAATAGATGATGGCACACATCAAGGTTGGCCAATGGCCATTCGTACAGCGATTGCACTATGAAGATGTATATAGTAACATAAGCGATGATGAAAGAAATGCCCACACAGTAGAAGATGTATACGTTCCATTGGTAAACGAAGAAAGTGGAAATGAAGAAAGTGACGAAGAAAACCAGCCCTTTTTATGTCTTCGAGATCCTTTTCTCAGTGACGCCGCCATTACTGAAGAAAATAGTGGTAATATTGTGTTCGGAGGTGTTGCTGATCTCAACGATATCGCCGAAAACGATGAGAACAGTGTCGATCTACTGTTTGGAAATCAAGATGGACTGTGGCTTCATAACAACACCTACGAAATGCACTGGATTATGAACGAAATTTTGAATTCTGACGACGATGCATTCAATCAGTAATAAAATAAGTGAATGCTTTTCTATTTTTTATTGTATAATCCTCTTTTTTTTATTATTGATTAATGTGAAATAAAATACAAAAAATGAATATTTCTATGCTAAAAACCTGAAAAAAAATCAGAAAATAGAAAATTCCTAAGAAAAAAACCACATTTTGATTGAATTTATGTATGTTTAATTCGATGTGCAGAAGACCCTAATCGAAAATTTATTGTTTTTTGAATTGAAATCGAAAGATGAATGCTTTTTGATTTATAAAAAAATTGAAGCAATGTGAAATTACAAATGAAGAAATTTTTTCACTCATATGATAAAAACATTAAAAAAAGTCAGTAAAATAGGAAAAATCCTTGAAAAAGTCCCATTTTGATCGAATTACTATATTTTTTAATTTGATGGGCAGAAAGCCCTGATTGAAAATGTATTGTTTTTTAAATTGAAATCGGAAGAAAAATTATTGTAGATTAAAATACAAGTTGAAGCAAATGTGAAAATCAAAAAAATTAATTAATAAAATGAGTTTGAATGATTGCGTTTTTTTCTCACTCATACAAATGTGTATGTTTGTTGTACTTTAAAAGCTGTCGCTTAGTGAAACCAAATGGTGATTTTCCATCTATGAAAGCGTGGTATATTTGCATCCATGTTAAAAAGGTGCAAATACTCCGATCATTCTTATATGGAAAAAATAATTAGAAAAATGGTAAATTGAGGTAATATGTGATGAAGTAAACCTACACAAATTCAATATAAGAGTGTAATCCTTAAATTGTCCGTTGTTGAAATTAAAAAAATTTCCCACATACTTATGCGCTGTTGAAAGAACGCCACTCCGCTTCTGAATGTCATGTTTTATATAGCTTTTAGCTAAAAGATTTAAAAATGTGAAAAAAAAAAATGATTTTATGTCTATAAAAATGAAGAAAAACTACGTGGAAACTTACCATTGCTATGTAATATCATGAAAAAATAAGCCGTTTTTGTTTTTGTGTTATAAAATATTCTACTGTGCCTGCGGCTTCCTTCTAAATGGATCATATGTACGTTTTTGTTCTTGTTCATTTCCGATGTTATGAATGAAACTGATTGAAAAGACCCGTTGAAATTTTTATCGTAAATAAATTTAAATTCTTCACGCATCTGCTCAAATGGCAATGGTTTATTTTCATCGTTAGACATTTTTGGAAAAAATTCACTTATATGTTTATGGATTGAAAATCTACACTTAACTAATGGTAAACCAAAAAATGCATATTTATATCCCTTTTTCGACTCATTAAAAAAGTGTCATTAGATGACTAATTAAGAAGTGTTGTTAACTAATGTGCTGTTTTATTGCCGTCTGTACAATTCAATGTAGGTATTATTCTTGACCTATGTATGATGTTTATAGAAATATTGTTTTATGGCGCAATAAACCCTCGCATAAACAAAAAGTAATGCGATCGAATAAGTCAATACATATTTTGGTTATTTTACGATCGCCTGGCTGCCATCGCCTAAATAGTATCAATGAATGCACCAAAGTCAAAATATTCAACTCAGCATTTCAATATAATAAAAAAAATGCAATCATCTTCATCTCATTGGACTCTAAATAATTTTTAAGAAATTCAATTCTGTCAGTTTGGAAATGATTCTTTAACGAGACACACAATTCTTATCTACAACGACGAAAAAGGAAAAGAATGGAAAAATTCAACCTCCACGAAATAAAAAATCAGACATATTATACGTGTCTTCGGTGCAATGCACATTTATATTTGCATTCGCACATCCAAGAAGAAGATAGTAGCGACAATTGGCATAAGTTAGACATCAACGATTCTTTGAATGTTAAGCAACCATCGTTCAACAATTTTCAATTGGAATGTCAATGTGGGGCCTACTTAGGTTTCTTGCGTGCGGACCACCAAACGGTTTGCATCCGATATGCAAACGAAAACCCCATTCAATCGAATGAGGCATCGACGACAACAACAACTAATGATCATTAAGTCGATTAACAAATCCGACTACCTGCTCATGTTTTAAGACATTATGCCTCGATCGTGTTTTAAGACATCCATCAATAGCGACAATTCAATTACAAACATTTTTTTAAAAATAAAGAAACAAAAAAAACAAAAAATATATTCCATTATAAAGAATTTTTAAAAAATCATTGTTCTATTTATTTATGTGAATGAGTGTTTGAATGAATGATTGATTGTATGCATGTCTATGCTTGAACCACATACACCATATCGCAGTGTACGACACACACACACGCACACACGCGCACAAATGTATGCTACCACACAGATGGTTGTTTACACGTACACTGTACGTGTGACACCAATACATTTGTGATTTGAAAACCAGATAGACTACACTACTAATTTAGTTAGTTAGCTAATTAATCGTATAAGTTCAGCAATGTTCCGTTGTCAAACCTGTTGAATCTTCCCCTTTCGGATCATTTGATAAAAATTCATCATCGTTTTCTGTAATTGTAAAAACAAAAAGAAACAAAATAATTTATTTTTTAAATTACGTTATGGAGTTCCGTAAACCTGCCTTCCTCATTACTCTTTTCCATCTTCTTTGCTTTATGCTTCGGCACTTTTTTCGGGGCACTTGATGAAAATTCATCATCGTTTTCTGTAATTGTAAAAACAAAAAGAAACAAATTAATTTTTTTTTAAATTACATCACGGAGTTCCGTTACCTTGAAGATTTGGGTCCGTCGATTTTTCCGATTCATGTTGCGAACTTGCAGCGTTTTCATCGTTCATTTTTTCCATTGGTTGATTTTGTATCGGATTAGCTATGGAAATGAAAATAAATTTAGTTAGTTAGCTAATTAATCGTATAAGTTCAGCAAAGTTCCGTTGTCAAACCTGTTGAATCTTCCCCTTCCGGATCATTTGATAAAAATTCATCATCTTTTTCTGTAATTGTAAAAACAAAAAGAAACAAATTAATTTTTTTTAAATTACGTTACGGAGTTCCGTAAACCTGCCTTCCTCATTACTCTTTTTCTTCTTCTTTAATTTATTCTTCAACACTTTTTCCGGGGAACTTGATACCAACAAAACATCATTGCGTTTGCTTTTCTTATTTTTTTTAAGTTTTTCGACCTTTGGCAATTCAATCACTGGTTCATCAGAGATGTTTCCGTTACCTTTATCATTTTTATCCACTTTTAGCGGTGCTGAACGAGACGGCAAAGAAGATGGAACTTTTGCAGTTTTCTTTGCCTTCTTATTTGGTCCAAGTGGACTTTGCGATCTTGCTCTTTTGTTTCTTTTATCCTTTTCTGACGGTTGTGAATTATCATTCTCTATGAAAAACAATTAAATATGCTTATTTATTATTCAGGTTCTTTTCAGGTTCCGCAAAGTTCCGTTACCTTCAATATGTTCGAATGGCTCTTCTTCGTTTACCTTCTAAACTTTGGTCGATTCCTTCTTCGCAAGTGCTTTGCGAGCAGCTTGCAGCGGATCCAAGCTTAAATCCACTGAACATTGCGTTATTTTTATTTGTCTGTACCCAACAATGAACCGTTGGGCGCTTTTAAACAAGTGTCTTATATCAAAATTATTCCTATAAACAAACAAAAAAGAAGAAGAAAAGTCAGAAACCTGTACGGAAATGAATTTTACAAATTATTTAATTATCTAACCATTCTTTTGTCAATGATGGCTCGAAGGAATTGACAATGCCAGAATTATTCCCAAAATTTGCTGCGAGTAATAAGATTTGATTAAGTTCTTCCTTAGAAAAACTGGCATAATTGCGTTTGGGTGCGTGCTTTTCGGCATGCTTTTTCAATGCAAACGTTCCACACCTACCTTCAACATGAAGCACCCAACCGTAATTTTCACAATAATACCAATTTTCCAGTTCGACACCATTTCTCGCCCAGAAAAGGAACCGCAACAGCCCCTTTTTCCAGTAAGGAGCTCGAGTTGATTTTCCTGGAGGATCACCCGGACTTAAGAAACCGTTTTCAATAAAACTGGACACTTCTTCTGATGTTAATGAAATGCTTGCTTCTTGCTTCCGATATCGTTTTCGGCGGCTAGTCGTTTCCGTTTGGAAGAGGTGTGTGGGTTTCCAGTGTCAGATGAGAGCTGCACCTTTTGTCTCGGCTCTTCCTCTCGCTTCCTTTTACACGAATGAGCTGGTGATGGTGATGGGTTATTTAAGCGTATGTTAGAACGTCTAGGTGGAAGTGTTTTAGAACGTGACGGTGACGGTGTTTTGGGTGGTGTCATAGAACGTGATGGCATTGGTGGTGAATGTGAACGCGAAGAACGCGAACTGGAACTGGAACCGGAACCAGAACTGGAACCGGAACCAGAACTGGAACCGGAACTGGAAGAGGATGATGAATCCGATGAATCATCACTATCCGTGCTGTAGATTCTAGACATTTCTGAACGTATTATAATTACATTATTAGTACATATATTTATAGTGTACTTTATTTGTAAATCGTCATAGTGTGGAACTGCGGAGCTCCGAATTGATTATGATGATTATTTATTTTAAAGTGTAGAACTACGGAGCTCCGAATTCTTAAAAGAAAAGAATGAATGCTCTAAATAAATAGAAATAGCTTCAACCGTTCAAAATCTCTTACGCAAATCTATCAAAGATTGTACAATCAATGTATCAAGTACAGAGCGTTCATATATATGTTAATACAGCCAGAAAAAGTTTCTTCTTGTTTGTTTTTTTCAATAGATGGCGCGTTCAACAACGTTGTCGAATATGTTTGACACTCGAATTGAACGTTTTCGAATTCAAGTGTCAAACATTCTTGTTGAATGCTCCAAAGTGTCATGTGCGTCATAGTAGCCGGTAACTATAAACAAACCGAAAGTGATAGTGTGTATTGTGCAAAAAATAATAAAAATGCTGCCAATAGGAGGTAAGTCAAAATTGTTTTTTTTTTTGTAATAACTTTTCTGAGCTTCTACTGTAATACAAAATGTGACAGATTTTTTTCATGCATAATGTGCAACAAAACGAACATAAGATGCTTTTAATTTACATTTTTCCTTCAAACTGGATATGTTTTGCAGACACTTAGTGCATTCTTTGTAAACATTTTTGACATAGAAAAAAACCCAAAACGAATATTATGTTATGTTTGAAAAATGTGCATTAATGCAAATTGGCTCCATTTTTGTCCATCAGTGATCACTAAACAGTATGAATGATTTGTAAAAGTGTAAATAAAATTCATAATTTTACACACCATGTTTCAAGATAAACATTTTTGTGAATTTACTACGAATTTTTGTGGTACTTTTACAAACGGTTTTTGTAGACAAATGGTTTGTATATTTACCACAAAAATTCATAGTAAATTTACAAATCATGTTTCAAGATAAAAAAATTTGTAAATTTACTACGAATTTTAGTGGTAAATATACAAACAGTTTGTAAAAGTACCACGAAAATTCATACTAAATTTACAAAAACGATTATATCAAGAGGTGAGATACATAAGATAATACAAATGTGTTTGTTTATAATTTCTAGGTTCGGGTAATTTATACCATGAAGAGGGTACAAATAATATATACAAATGCGTGCGTGAGTGCACAAGTAAAAAATCATACGTAACATACAAATATTTTGAATGTGATTACAATGACTGTTATGTGACGGCACGTCTGGCAAATGAATCGGTAGAAATAACGAGTGGCCAACATATAATCCATTCTGCTAATGATTGCATCTCGAAAGTCGCATTGGTCGAACTAGAGCAGGTAATCAAAGAAAAAGCCACGAACCACGAATTGAAGCCCAAAAATTTTTACCAAGATTGCCGAAAAGAAATATTGTTGAAATATGAGAACGTCGCGATTCCGGACATAATTTGGCCAAATAAGGCCAAAAATTTGATCAACAATCAGCGTAAAAAAGGTGCCTATGCGTTTCTCTTAAGTGATTTTTTTAATCTTACGTTGTTATATGATTTCAGATAAAAGCCCTAAGCCACCAAAAGAGTCTGAGTTTATTGATGTGAATAGTATCAAAGAGCCCACGCTCAATGACGATGATGAGACCAGTGGTATGTTTCATTCAAACGCACGTTTCGCTTGTTCGTTTAATACTCATTTTCATAGTTTATCTACAAAATGCCGAAAAATATTTGTGAATTCACTACTTTCGGCGTTCGTAAATTTACTATAGAAATTAGTAGTAAATTTACAAAATGACCACATCTTAGATTTGCCGCTGATAAGCTGTTTTTTTTAGAAAATCACGTCAATTCCACGCCAGAAAATGATGCTTCTCTGTTTCATTCCACACCCGTTTCTGGACATCAAGCTATCCTTGAAGCTGCTCAAAATTTGGCCAAAAATGTTTCGATTGTTCAAACTACGCTTGGGGCCGATGTTGCAATAGCCAGTGGAAGTGTTGGTCATAGTGGTATGTTCATTCTATCTTCCGTTTCGTTTATAAATTTACTCCCACTTTTAACAGTAAAATTACAAAAATCGAAATATTGTTCGGCGTTTGTAATTTTACTTTAAAAATTAGCGATAAAATTACAAACATCACGAAAGAATAAGCGCCAATTAGGTCCTATATTTTAGGTAATAGTAATGACACCGTGCTAAGAAACAATAGCAGTTCAATCGCTGCCAAAGCACAAGCAAAAAAGAAGACAGTAGAAAAAAAAGCTACCGCCAAAGTTGCAAAGAATTCCGTTCCAAAAGAAGTGAGATTTAAACTAAAGACAATCATATTAAATCAAATGGCACCACAACAAAAAACAGCAAAGAAAACAGCCGCATCCAAAAATGATGCTGCGGGCAATGGTATTGTTTATTCTATCTCTTATTTGTAAATTTACTACCAATTAATAGTACTAACTTAAATTTATTTAAATGCCTTTAGATTCTCACGATGAAACCGAAAATGACAACCAGTTACCATTGAACCTTTTCGAATACTTCAAGAAACATGTGTATACGGGCAATCCAGGCAAATTAAACCATAGTTTCAGCAGATTGTCGAATGTGCAAAAGACTTATTACACATCAGAATATGCGAAATTGGTGAATGAAACGATACATCGCATTGGTATGTTCTTTGATCATTTTTGAAAATTTACTACGAATTTTTGTTGTACTTTTACAAACCCTTTTTCTACAAACACCACTTGTAAAAAAACCACAAAAATCCGTAGTAAATTTACAAATAGCTCATGGATTTAATTCATTTATATACTTATAGGTGCAAACCAGGTCATTGAAACCACTGATAACGTTTCCCACGCTGCAACGCCACAAAACACCGTCCCTCTGTCGACAGTGGCCCCAACTCCAAAAAATCGAGGTGCCAAAGATTCAAGTATGTCCTTTGATGATTTTTTTCATTTTTGTCATTTTAATATGAAATTCCATAGTAAAATTACAAACTATGTTTCAAGATAAACCTTTTTGTAAATTTACTACGAATTTCCGTGGTACTTTCACAAACGATGTTTGTAGACAAAGAGTTTGTGAAAGAACCACAAAAATTCGTAGTAAATTTACAAATAGCTCACGGATTTAATTCATTTATATAATTAAAGGTGCAAACCAGGTCATTGAAACAACTGATAACGTTTTCCAGACTGCACCGCCACAAAATGCCGGTGTCGAGCCAGAAAATAAAGTTCCTCCGCCGACAGTGACCTCAACTCCAAAAAATCGAGGTGCCAAAGATTCAAGTATGTCCTTTGATGATTTTTTTCATTTTTGTCATTTTAATATGAAATTCTATAGTAAAATTACAAACTATGTTTCAAGATAAACCTTTTTGTAAATTTACTACAAACTTTTGTGGTACTTTTACAAACGGTGTTTGTAGACAAAGAGTTTGTAAAAGAACCACAAAAATTCGTAGTAAATTTAAAAATAGCTCATGGATTCAATTCATTTATATACTTATAGGTGCAAACCAGGTCATTGAAACCACTGATAACGTTTCCCACGCTGCAACGCCACAAAACACCGTTCCTCTGTCGACAGTGGCCCCAACTCCAAAAAATCGAGGTGCCAAAGATTCAAGTATGTCCTTTGATGATTTATTTCATTTTTGTCATTTTAATATGAAATTCCATAGTAAAATTACAAACTATGTTTCAAGATAAACCTTTTTGTAAATTTACTACAAATTTTTGTGGTACTTTTACAAACGCGGTTTGTAGACAAAGAGTTTGTAAAAAAACCACAAAAATTCGTATTAAATTTACAAATAACTCCTGGATTTAATTCATTTATATAATTATAGTTGCAAACCATTACACTGAAACAACAGCAAACAACACTGTTACACCAGCCGCTCGGTTCAAAGAAGATATCAACGCATTTTTACTTTCGGACATGGCATCAAAGCCAACGCCATCATTCCGCAGAAGGTTGATATATTCAGAAGAGAAACCAACTCGATCGCAGCCAAAACGAAATGCCGCTCCGTCCGCTTTGAAAGAGGATAGTTCGAAAGTAGAAAAACGA